ATGCTGACATGATTCATGCCCTGGCATGCAAACTGTATTGTAGAGCAGAATATAGATTTATTTTGCCTTGGCCTTTAAAAATATACTGAACGTAAATATGACTGTGACCTACTAGCCTAAATAGGCAGCACAAAGTTCTTAACAATGACACCCAGACATCTAGTTTTCAAAGCGATTCGATATGTACAAAAATAAAATCATGAATCACTGATTCATCCTAAAGGAAGCGATGTTCCAAAAGCTTGATTAGACTGACATTTTTTACCACATTATTTTCCTCCATTGTATGAATATCACAGCAATCTTCCAATGTAACAAGCCATTATGCACGAAACGCTCATCAAACGCGAAATGGGCTTGCATCCTTTTCCTGAAGATATGGTGATTAAATCATGTATAATGCATATGCACCACAATGATATCCATAATGAGCACAGAGGCATAGTTCTCTGTGGAGGACGGATAATGATGGAGATGAGACTGGAGTTCAACCAGTGAGGTCGCCATGGTAATGAAGGAGTAGCTGGTGCAGACCAGACTGTTGACCAGTTTGAACTGGCAGGGCTAAACTGTGGGCTGACTAACCTTTATCCCACAAACTGATAAGACTCAGCAGAGGGCACAAGGCTGTACAGGAGGGAGGGAGGGGGGAGGGGAGGGATAATGACAGGGAGAGAGAGCGAGAGAGGGAGGATGGTCTGAGAGCGATAATAACTACGTTTACATCCACACAAGAAACCAGGGTATTGTGAGAAATCAGGTTAAGACTGAGGATACGTTTACATACATACATACATGTAATTCCTATTAACCTGAATGTAAATGCAGCTGGTCAGAAACTTTTCTTTTCAACACATCAACCATATTTGTGAGCAAGCTTGACCGATTGGATGAATATATTTTTTTTTTGGGTCAATTTTTTTTATTTTGCTAATTTAATGGTGTGCCTCCGAAGAACGAGAGCCGCTGCTCAGCAACAGATGTTCAGCGGTGCAGTAGACACACTGGGCCCATAAATGAGTGAGAGGGAAAACAGTTCTAGAACCTGAATATTTTCACATCAAACTCTGTGAACGAAGGCTTTATTTCGGCTAGAGAATATAGAAAATACAGTCACAAGGTGATTCACAGAGGCTCCAACTAAGACTCTTACTCTGGAGAAGATGAGGACACTGCAGGGACAGGCCAGGAGAAGAGAGCCAGAAGAGTACACACACGCATGTGTGAATACATTGGACATCACCAGTTGTTGGACGGTCTGTTGTCTGTGTTGGGCTGTAATACTTTAAGTGTATGATGGTGATATATGCTGCTGTGGCTGGAAGAGTTTTTAGCATTTGGACTGATGTCGCAGTGAGAGGACTGGCTCTGTATTCAGAGAGCAAACTGTTTTCTTCTTACAGTGTGTATGTGTAATACTGTGTAAGGCTTTCTTAAATCAAGCTACATTATGCACCTTATATTGTTCTCTTACAGTATACTTCCATACACTGCTTGCTGTGTGAAGCGTTAGTGTTCACTACTGTGTGCATATAAAACAAAAACTAATCCAGTTTTTATACTCAGAAAGAGAGCCAAGAGAATTGCAGAAAAAAATACTAATCAAGGTCCAACAAACCCACTGCTTATCAAATTAAAGGCTCTAAAATTTACTGACTTGGTAAGTCTTGAAATAGTACACATCTCGCATAGAGTCAAAAATACATTAGTATTAGTACATTAGCAGTAGCCTGAAAACATCCGAAGGATGTTTAAAAAGAGGGAAAGTCAACATGAGTGGAATATGCATGTTGAGGAGACAAAAGGTCAGAACTAATGTACAAAACATTGTTGTATATCAGCTGAAGGAGTGAATTTATGGAACAGTTGTAGTGAGGAACAGAAAATGTTATTTAAAAATAAACAAAAATAAAAATGTATGACCAGAATGTTGGCACTGACGTCAAAGAGGTTTTGTATTCTAAAAATGGCCAGTGCAATGGCTTCAGCCTACTCCTTTTCTATCTATTGAAAATATTTAACGCTGCTTCTTGAATGGTTGAACAGCTTTGGAACAGTTGTCTTCTTTTTCCATGTCTGAATTATACCAGGAAATAAACTGCAGTTCAGAGATGGAAACAAACATACCCAGCCTTATTTAATCGAACCTTAGACGCAAGGACACACCAAACAAGTAATAATCTTTTCTTTTACTACCCTGTTTGAAGTCTGTCGTACACATGTGCTCTTGTAAAAACCCGGTTAGAATCCCGGTTAAGCACAGACATGGCCGACAAATCAGCTTTCCCCAGCAAAAAATAAATAAATAAAAAATCCAGACCCCGCAGACCAAGCAAGCAAGTGGGGGAAGGGAGTTAGAAAAAATGAGAAAGTGATGGAGAGAGAAAACAGGAGGCAAGACAACAAGAGAGGCAACAACAATGGGGGAGAGAAACAGAGAGAGAGAAGAGAGAGAGAGAGAGAAGAGAAGAAAGAAGAGAAGATGAGAAGAGAGAGAGAAAGAAGAGAGAGAGAGAGAGATAGGGATTGAGCAGTAGTTAGAAGATCAGAGAATAAACAAGCAGAGAAGAGACAGAGTATGTTAAAGTGTGATCACTTAGTGAGGAGACTACAGCTGATCTCCCAGTCTGCACATGAGTGAAGAATTACAATTAATCAAGTGGTTTCATTACTTCCCTCCATTATTATAAGGATAAAGAGGGTCGTCACCTCCAAGCTGCAGCACGGGCTTTATTTTTAAAGCAAATTAAAATTTTCAGCTTTGTGAAACGATGTGCACCATCTTCCTCTGGAGGTTTTTCCTCCTCTCACTCATCCTTTCCACTCTCTCTGCTTCTCGGAGAACAATACGATCAACATGCATTATTTATTGGAAAGTACATTTGTGTCTGAAAGTACTGTATGCGCAGATGTGTGTGTGCGCGCGCGCTCATATCCAGTGTGTTTGAGAATGATGCCAATGTGCGATTCAGATTCAAATGAGGGGAGGGTGTGTTCTGCGGGCACAGGTGTACGCCTGTGTGATTTCATCACTTTGCATGCAAATTTCAACCGAGGATGGCCACGGAGACAGAGCGAGGATGGGAGAGGGAGAGAGAGGCGGCAAAGAAGGGATGGAACATGTGCAGGAAATGGATAGAGTGGGAAAGGGAGAGGGAAGAGGAGAAAGATGGTGTGATGACAGAGCTGCAGGCGCTGTGTTTGTACATGCATCTGCAGGCAAATTAATCACAAGATGGTCTTACTCCATTAAAATGCTAATGTAGGAAAATCTAGACATTTCCATATATTTGCAATATCCCAGAGCCGAAAGAGTGTTATTATGCTAAATGCAGGCTGGCTGCTCGATGCACACCTAATATAACGACAAATCTGACCAAGATAAAGCCAAGATTAAAAGTCTCCTAAATAGTGAATTAAAGGGCAGACAGATACAAGACATGCCACTTAAACACTGGGCCTTCATGAAATTAGACAAGAGAAGATGTTGAATATTTGGCCCCGAAAAACTACTTCCTACATCGGCTTCTTATAGTTTAAGTTATTTTACAGCAAAGGTTTGTGTATTTGTTTCACTGGTTTAAAGGTGGACATAAATAATACCTATACTAAAGATCAGGGGTGCACATTTTGTTTTTGTCCACTGGCCAATGTTCAAATTTTTGCCAGCCACTCAAGAGATTCTCACAGTTTTTTTATTTTGGACCCACTACAGCTATGTGTTGGTATGTTAAGACATAACGCTGTTATGCAGAGCCAATGCAGCACTGCAGAGTGACAGCTCAACTACTGTACTCATAAATGTCTGCACTTGCTCACTTAATGTAGTATCCTTGGAGACACATGACTTTGTGTAGATAAATGCAGTACTGTCAATATGTTGTTGATGGTCTACTTGTAGCAGTTCATTTATATTCAGTGGCTGCACACTGAATTGGTCTCACAGCTAGAAATATATTGGTACAATGAAAATATAATTGCAATTAATCATGCTGCAGTATTGCACACAGCCCATCCAAAACAAATTTAAGCAAAGCAGTCCTTATGTAATAATATAAATATCCAGATAACAGTCATTATTCACTGATAATGCATCCTGAAACTACTCAAGAAAACTACTCAAAATTACCTTTAGATCCACAAAAAAAGAATATATGATTCATCTTTATATATTGGTTTCAAGCTTGTGACTAAATGCCAGCTCTCTTGCTCGTTAATGGAAATAAACTCTTGAGCAAATACTGCTATTAGGTAAGGTATTTGAAGGAGTACAAGAGAATGAGAGAGGCAAATTCTTCAGTGCTTTTTCTTTTGGAAACGGGATGGATAAGGCACCCCAATTAGAATTTTCACTTAAAGCTCTTGGGAACCAACTGTGACCTCTGTCTACTCTGAACTCTTGGGGGAAATATGAAAACGATATTTTTGCAGTAACATTTCTGTGCCCTGTCAACACATTAGCAAGCAGCACAACTGGCAGGGAGCCTCTCCACAACAGAGGAAAACACAAATGTCAATGTTTTCTGTGACTGCTGCCATGATTATTACGGGAATAATATACCGATACAAATATTCACAACCTTGCAGATTTGTTTTTTCAGCATTTTCACTTTCCCTGGATAGTCTGCCAGTGAAGATATAGACAGGAAATATGTGGAGAGAGAGAGGGATGATATGCGTTCCCTAGAAGTTACTGTATGGTATGTGTCTTAACCACTAGGCCAACAGGATGCTCCACAGCCTTCCATTGTATGGTGTATTCTTACATTTCCAGACATAGAATTTGCTATATTAAGCAGCCATGTAAATTCTGGTTTTGTAAAGCTACGAAAAACAAACATACCTTAGTCATAAACCTTTTTTTTTAAACCACCAAACCATAAACATGAAATGGTGCCATTCTGTTGAAAACTAAAACCAGGTTTATCTTGTGATGAAATATACTTATTTACTATCATTCCCCTTAAATCCAAGACCAACTCTCACACGAAGACACTCACACATGCCTTCACCTAGACTGGTTGGCTTGATGAGCTCATCCAGCATGTCGTAGAAGGGCAACCTCTGGAGCTTGACATCTGGGTGGACCGGGTGCAGCGTGGCCGAGGTGGACAGGTGGTGCGTCAGCCCGGTCAACTCGTGTTTCCCAGGGCCGAGCAGTGAGAGGGGCAGTAAGGCAGCGGGCGACGGGGCTCCACCGTGACCGGCGTGACCCTCATATGCCAGCTGTGTCAGGCCAGCGGGCAGTGCGGCGCCCCCTCCTCCAACCATTCCAGCTGTGGCTGGGTGGTGCGGCCCGGGCATGGCCAGCTCTGAGTGGGATACCATTTTGGCAGGGAAGCGTCGTCGGTAGAGCTCTTTGATCTTCATGTGCACAGCGGGGCTGCAGCCGGCCTTCAGCAGGTGCAGAGCCTTGGTCAGCAGCTCGTGCTTGCGTCCGTGCTTATTGCGCCCAGCGTAGCCCAGCAGCACCTGCAGCTCCGACACCCGCAGGCTCATCACCATTTGCTGTGATGGGGGACGGGATGAGAGAGAGGAGAAGGAATTAACTCTTGAGATGCAATGCCAATAACAATTTCTCATGACTGTAATAACGTACCAACCCTTCGACAGTTATTGAAGATATTTTCATTTATGAACTTTTCAGCACTTTTCCAAAAGGTGACAGAATATAATAAACCACTGTGCTGTGTTTAGGCATCTGATAAGCCTGACAAACTCTTGAATCTGTTACAAAACGTCCTGGATTATGATGATATTTCATTGTCTCACAGTTACCTGAGGAAACACACACCTTCAAAACACCCCCTTACATTTTTTTTATTGCAGTGGTATTAAAATGTTTCAGTGGTGAAGAAGCACAGTTTTCAGTTTTCTGGTCAGTCTTCACTTTAACCTTCGCCACGTTTGGACAGTTACTAAAAGAGTGACACTGCGTGAAAATGGTAGAAAGGTTTCTCTACAGGCTGTAACTCTGTGGGATTGAGTGAAGCAATTCAAAAGAATATCTGAATGAAGCCTCGGCCAAATACTATACAACTATTAAAGATGTGTTGTAAAGAAGGTGTTCCAGGTGAGATCAATTGTGTAGAGATCCAAGGACAGAGTCAGGACCATTTATACAAATGGACTCAAAAGTTGGGACCTGAATGGGACCTGGCGTTGCAGCCCGACGCCACCTGCTGAGCTACCGAGATTTAAAAGACGCCCAGCGGCACTGTAGGTGAAAGTTGAGAGTGGTTCAACTGTATGCAAATGTTTTCCGACGCATTGTGAACAACAACCAGACGAGACAAAACTGCGTTTCTCTTGATTCCGATTTCAGAAGCAGAGTTGTTTACTACTCGCAGTAGTATGTTTCCAGTGCTGATACAGGTCTGCAGTGCCGATCAGTGTTTCCTGCTCAGGTGTCACTGTTGTATTAAAACTGTTTCAAAAGTGCATACCGCATTAAAAAAAGAGACACAAAACAAAGCTATTCTGTGTTTGGGAAACAAACAGTTTAACAGGAAATTAACACCTTCGTCAGAAAACTGTCTGTCCAGTCAGAGCAGAGTATGTAAATTACGTGTTGAAAGAAAAAAACACGCAGAGCTACAGATTTAAGAGAGGTCAGAGACTGTGTGAATACCTTGGGGATTTCCCAGGGTCAAACAGGGGGAAGTTACTGTGTAAGAAGACATTTGGCTGCTGTGCTAACCCGTCTGCCACTGTTGACGCGACCTAATTGAATTTTTAAAGCATTACTGGACAATATGCATTAATATTCTGTGTTTATCTGGCTTGATGTTGGTGTGCTGCCTTTCAGCGATTCCAAATGAAAAAAAGCCTAGCTCTGCATATCTTTGTCTCACAGGTATCTTTGTCTTTGTCTAAAACACACACACACACAAACAAACTCCTAACCTGTATATAAGAACCTGCCCAAATACTAGAGACACCACTGACACTGGGAAGCAGTGCGCTCGATGCAGTAAGTTTTCATCTGTGTTGGAGTGAGGAAAAAAAACTTTAACCAACAAAGGATTTTGCCTGGCTCAACGGGAGGCTGAGGCGGTACCTCCCGGGGGCTAGTGGGATGAAGAAGCTGCAGCAGGAGCATGAGAAAAAAGTGTTGCCTGCACTGACTTGAGGTTTCGCTTTATGTTGGCTCAAACTACAGTAAGCACTAGCAGCTCTTCATTTAACCACACCAAATGTCCAAATGTCCAAATGTATGTGGACTAACTTCAGGTAAAACTATTTCTGTATGTGTTTATGAACCGCAATGATTTTATATCTCTATACTGTTGTTCATGTGTTGCAGTTTGGTGTTTTTTATGTTAATATGGCCCTATGTGTCCTTGTGAAATAAAGTTAAATCGATTTAGACAGAGAAACACAACTGCAAATATAGTTACTACATGTACGGTGACTCAAAAATAAGAAAAACTAGACATCAGAACTCATCATCATGATCAAGGCACTTCTCACATTTAGCTTCACATGACTGAGGACACCGAGCAGATCCCTGATGTGAATTTAATCTACTGAAGTTTTAATGCACTCAATACCTCACCCCAAAAAAACTGCTGGCCTGAAACAGAAGTATCTGAGAAATTTCCATGCATTTAATTTAGTCAAATTTCACCAGAATTGAATCGTCATTCGCAGGAAAGACAAAAGGAAGCACAGCTTCCTCGTATTAGAATAGGTGAGTGCACAGAGCTGAGCGACTGAAAACAGAGCAGGACGAAACAGAAAAGAGTAACACACAAGCTCTTTATCTTAAAAGGTGGAAGTGGGTGAAAAACAGAATTTAAACGAAATCTAAGCTCATTAACTAGCATCCATCACAAACATTAATTAACTATGTTGACAGTATAGCAAATTATAGCTATGAGACAAACATTAAAAAAAGCCAGTCTTAACTGTATTACACAAGCTATAAAGACGGACACATACTGTATGTGTGGAATGTGGGCTGTCACACACACACACACACACACACACACACACACACACACGTGTAGACTCGTAAGAATGTCTTGGACAAATCTCCTCCCTTCATCTCCTTTAATGACAGAGCAGGGATAAAAAAACAAACGTTGTTTAAATGACAAAGCACAAAGGGCTGTTAGTGCTCATTGTGTCAGTAACCTAATCAATTACATACACACAGTTGTTATTGTTGTGTACAGAATATGTGTGCTGTCGTGTCCATAAACACACTAAACCTTTAAGCCATCAAGATTTTATTTTTGTTTCTTATAATGAGGCACACTCTTCTCGGGTAACACCGGGGTTTTGCATTCAATTGACATTTAAAATGACATATATGACTGCTGTGGGCTATGTTCTGTGACCTAACCACAGCAGCGACATTTTAGGCTTGAAAAACAAAACCACTAATATGCACTGATACTACTTTTTCATTGCTGAAACAGATTTAATGTAAACCATCCTCATATTCAACACGGATCCCACAACTGTCACATTTGTCTCTTTTAACAACTGCTCAACTGTTTATAATACTTCACCCATAGACTAAATTTAAACAAGTTAATGCATTATTATTTGAAAGTACATATCAAATTAAACATAGCTAATTTTTGGAAAGCTTTAGTTTTACCTTCTCCTACTGAGCACTCTTTTGTGATCCTTTTTCTACATGAATACAGCCACTATGTTACTTGATCTCCACTTACTAAGAGGACAGAACTGAAGCTTATTCTACTGCTGTCCTACTTTGCTATAAGTATCGTCTAAATGTAACAAATAAACAGAAAACTGTCACACTACCAAAACTGTTTTCCTTTTTAACATGAGGGGCCCAGGTGTGAATAAAACCTCTCACTCTGGTCGGACCACAGAACAGTACTGTATCACTAAAACTGACGTATTAATGCTACTTTTGAAAGGAACTGAAACCCCCAAAGTGGTGCAGTTTGCTGTAAAACATGTTTCACTTTTGCATTTCTAGCTTGCAGTGCCTGCAAGTGCAGCAAACCAATATGTGCTTCAAATAACACTAATAGCAGAGATAAATTACCAACAGGCGACTCTTTTGAGGTCTCTTAACTTGGGAAAGATGCCACCACAGCTTCTTGGCTTTTCAAAAACAAATACAGAATAATGCTGATTGCCAGTAAGAAAGCCATTACAAAAAATTGTTATGTCAAGAATCATCTATTGTAGCAGCAATGAGATGTATGACATCTTTGTGATGGAAAGATTAACAAAAGTTCAGCCAGAGGATACAGTTCTGTGTTGACCAAAGATAAAACAAGATAAAAACAGTAAGAAAAATGTGATTGTCTTGGTAGTCTTTTAGCCCTTGTAACATGTAGGGCTGTACCAAAGGTTCCAATATTTTACATTTATGTAATGTACAGCAATGAAAATAACCCTAGATACAACACACAGGCAGAGAGAGCCGGGAAATTACAGTAAAATAAGGGATTGTAATGCGTGCAGTGGAGCAAATATGAACAACAATGAGATGGTTCGATGTCCATCACAAGTTCCCAGAGACTAAAGTGAAATCTTCAGAGGTCTTGTTTTGAGACAGTCCAAAACTCACAGATATTCAGTTTTCTATCACATTTGAATAAGAAAGTCACCAAATATCCATATTTAAGATGCTGGGACCAGCAGTTTGCCTAAAACATTTATTAAACAATTAACTAATCGACTAATCGTCTGTTTCAGCTCTGCTTACAAGGTTCCTAAAAGTCCAGTTAATGGGAAGACTCAGGTTCCTCTGTTCCTGCATTGAGAGGACCATTTCAGACAACTTGGGCCCAAACCAAGCTCCACGCTGCTCAAAGTGACAGCAGAGGCTGCTGTTTACAGACCAAACACAGCACTGTGTACAACTGCCACAAATGCAGAACCAAGCACACACTCACACACACACACACGGATACTAACGAAGTGCCCGATGTATACAACATCCACACAGACAATTACCAGTCAGGACATAGACCTGTCCTTGTCCTGCCACTACATACATAGGGTAAAGGCACATTTATGGGAAGGGGGGGGAATAAATCAGCAGACAGACCCCCATTCGTGAATGTAATTCTAATGCCTTCGGTCTGAACCACGCTGCCGTTATAAAAATACATCAGTCACAGCCGGCTCTTACAGCAGGACGAGGAAGCTCAATCACAGGTGCAGCATGCAGCCAGCAGCTGTCTTGTCTGTGGATTTTAACAGAGATTTTTTTTTTAACAGAAAAATAATTTTGATAAT